TGTGTGATGGTGAAGTCTGTGTGTGATGGTGAAGCCGTGTGACGGTGGAGTCGGGTGCGATGGTGTGGATCTGAAGTCTCAGCACACCTCTGGTGTGATGGGAGGTGGAGTCAGGCCGCCTGGAAGCCGGTGAGCCACTCAGCCCGGGATACAAAGCACAGGAGCGGACACAAGAGAGCCTCTACCTTGACACGGCGAAGGCGGGGCTGCTGACTCCCGAAGGCTGTCCTGCGACCCTGTGTGCACGCCGCAGCACGCATGCACTCACACACGCACGCACACACAAAAATAACAAATGCTTTGAATTTTTTCTTTCAAAAACTGCAGAGACAAATATCTCAGGAGATGTCCCACACAATTCCAGTGTCTTGTCCAAAGAACTGGAAATTTATCTTCCCGAGGGGGCAGCCTACAGGGCTGAGCAGGGCCCCGTTCAGAGACACCAGCCCCCCAGTTTGCTCAGGTCCCTGTCCACCTTCTGGCCATTCATCCACCTTTGCACATTTGTGGTATGAATGTGATCCTTACCAGTACTTGAGTTTGCGCGTCTGATCCCCTATGATCCATAACAGCGATGCTGAACACGGCTGAGACAACGAGGAGACTAATAGTAATTTTCATGACTAGTGGATTGCGTTATTAATCCAATTTTGTAAGCAAATTGAACGAGTTGAAGAGAAGAAAACCTAGAAAGGGCTCCATTTAGCCACAGCAGGATTAAATTCTTTTTCCTGGCTTTTTATTTTTGAAAGGACCAAATGCCCCAAGATGACCCACCGAGGTTTTTTGCTTGCATGTGAAATATTCCTCCAGCTAACATTGGGCAAGCTGGTGCCTTTCAAAAGACGAAAGCGTGGACTAAGCCGTGTGCTGGGGGGGCACTCACGTGGCGTGTTGGTGGTATTCAGTGGCATGGGCCTGGCACAGAGCTCATATTATGTGCTGAGTTAATGCTTTTGTTGAATACCAAGGCGCCTTAGGGGGTCCTCTTCCTCCCAAGGATGCCTGACAGCAAGCTGGTGCCGCCCCACAGTATTCGGGATCTGAGGTTTACAAGGCGTGAGCCTCCTGGGGAGCCCAGGGCAAGCTCTGCTCTGCATGGAGCATGTCCCTTTGGAGACAGTCCCATGTTCAAACCCCACTCTGCCTTTCTCCGTTAGCTTGTTTTCTCTCCCCGGCTGCTTTTGACCCTTCCCTCCTCTGTCCCTGCATCTTGAGGCTGCCTGGCCGCAGTTCCGTGTTTGGCTGAGGGCGCTGTGTGCTCCCCTCAGCAAAAAGTCAGTGAAGCGGTACCAGGCAGAGACATAAATCAGGAGATAAGGGTGGGCAGGGTTCCAGGAGGCACGAGAGCTTGTCCAAGGTCACCCGACAGCCTGGAACAGGATCCCACACTGAGGTCCCTAGCCACAGCTCTGGGGCCCCACAGTCACACAGCTGGGTCCCCACTGGAGGGTCGGGGGTGGGTGGGGGAGGGGGAGGAGAACAGCAGCGTCTCCCAGCACCGTCATGACTCAGGTCAGCTGAGAGCTGTTTCTGCCAGGCGGTGTATACCAGCCTCACTCACATCTCCGTACCTTCCTCAGTTTTGTTTTCCTGAGGTGTCGTTTTATTCTTGAAAGGACCAAACGCCACAAGATTACTTACAAAAGCAACCCCTAATTGCTTGCAGAAGAAACCTTAATGCTACAGATATACCAGAGAGATGTACATACATTGCATGTGTATCCGTGCTTTCTACAATAAAAAAGATTAGACATTCTGTCATCCTCCTGTAAGAAGTGATTTAGATCTTTTTTTTTTTGGGGGGGGGGGAGTGATATTGTTCTTATTAAAGATGCATCCTGGAGGGCCAGCAAAATGCCTCAACAGTAAGACAGTTGCCCGAAAGCCTGGTGATCGGGTTCAGTCCTCAGGAGCTCACGGTAGGAGAGGCCCGGTCACTGCGGGTTGTCTTCTAAAGTCCACATGTACACCGTGTCACATGCACACATACCCACATAAACACACACAGATAAACGGAATAAAACTGTTTTCAGGAGAATGCATACTGTAGGCACTGGGTAACGGCTCAGTTGGTAAAGCGCTTGCTATGCAAGGGGGAGGACCTGAGTTCAATACCTAGAACCCACCTGAAAAAGCTAGGCAAGGCTGGGCAAGGTGGCGCATGCCTTTAATCTGAACACTGGGGAGGCAGAGATAGGCCCAGCTTCATGAGTTCAAGGCTAGCCTGATCTACATATGTAGTTTGAAGTTAGCCAAGGCTATATAGAGAGAACCTGTCTCAAGAACAAAACAAACAAACAGGCCAGGTATGGTGGCACATGGTTCCAGCCCTGGGAAGGCAAAAACACGCAGATCCCTGGGGCTGACCCGCTAGCCAGGCTAGCTTAATTGGCAAGCTCCAGGCCAAAGAAAGACCCTGTCTCAAAAAACAAAACAAAACAAAACAAAACAAAACAAAACAAAACAAAACAAAACAAAACAAAACAAAAACCAAAGTGGACAGCACCTACGGAGGTTGACCTTTGGCTTCCACTTGCACATACAAGCACATGTACACATTAGTGTGGTGTGTCCACCCCTCCCCATCCCAACAAACACATGTGATGAATTTTGTAACATTTAAAGCAGAGTGAGTTTTGTGGTGCTGGACACCCACTACGACCTTGCGTGTGCCATGCCGGGTCTCCACCATTAAGCAACATATCCCCAGTCCCTAGTAAAGTTTCAGATGTGCACATTCCTCCCACACTAATTCTCATCTCTGTTGGTAGCAAATGGTAACTTTTCCTTCCTAAAAAAAAAAATCTGTTGGGTGGTGGTGGTGGTGGTGGCGGCGGCGGCGGCGGCGGCGGCGGCGGCAGTAGCAGCGCACGCCTTTAATCCCGGTACTCGGGAGGCAGAGCCAGGTGGATCTCTGTGAGTTCGAGGCCAGCCTGGTCTAGAAAGTGAGATCCAGGACAGGCACCAAAACTACACAGAGAAACCTGTCTCTCATCATCATCATCATCATCATCTCTGGAGTTAAGGAATGAGGATTGCGAGGAACCCCTGTTCCCACTGTGCTCATTCCCAGTCTGTGCTCAGACTTCCGTGGGAGCCACAGGTCTCACGGAGCAGGCCCCTCGGGAGAGGACAAACAGGCGGTGAGGACCCACGGCTGGTGAGTCTGCTAAGTGAAAGCACCAGAGCTTGGTCTCAGGGACGGACAGAGCTGGGTCTACATTCCAGCTTCCTGTCTAGGAGGGGTCTGGCCAATCGTTCACCATCCCGAACCAATATGCAGAACAGGCCACAACAGCTACCTTCCGAGGCGCTCACTAGTGTTCACTGTTGCGTCCTAGGTATCGAACTGGCAGTTCAGCCGAGTCTGCTGGGCCACCAGCTCCTACCTGCCCAGTGAAAGTATGCAATGCCCTCTTCTTTATCTCATTTTTCTTGTCTTGGGAGGGAGAGAGAGAGCTCTCACTCGGTCCCAGGTGTGCTTCTGGCTGTTCCACTGAAGTTGGTCTAGCCTACTCTATTGTCCCTTTTACCACCTGCTGGAAGTGGGTCACCCAGGCACCCCCAGTCACACTATTTTTGATCTCCAGCTGCCCCAGGGCCATCCGTTCTCTCTATCAAGGCTGGATGGAATAGAGTCCTTCCCTCCTCAACAGCTCTACCACTTCAGTCCACAGGGAATAGGGCAGCCGCAGGGACCAGGGGCCTAGGACGGAGTTGGCAGCTTTGTGTTTTCCTTAACCACACGGTTTCCTTTGCTGGATATGTAGCTCTCACTGGGGGCGGAACGGGGCGGGGGGGGGGGGGCGGGATGGATGAGAGCACATTTATACGCTTACATGTATCCTATTAAAGCCACTTCTCACCACGGGGCCCCTGATGCTCTAGCCCACGATGCCTGGTTTCTTTGTGTGTGTGTGTGTGTGTGTACACACCCTACACATTCACGTGTATATGTGAGTTCATTTGTGTGTGCCACAGTGCGCATTTGAAGGTCAGAGGACAGTACGTTTTCCTGCTGTATACACCAGGCTAGCTGGCCCACAAGCTTTGGGAGATTCTCTTGGCTCCGCCTCCGACCTCCCTGTAGGGGTTGTGGGGATTGTAGCTGGTCTCCCTAAGCATGGGACTTTTTTTGTTTTGTTTTGTTTTAAACGTGGTTTCTGGGCATCCAAACTCAGATCCCAGCACTTATGGAACAGGTAGCTTTACCCACTGGGTCATCTCTGCAGTCTGATCCCTGGCTTTATGATTCAAAGTGATTTCCTTTTCTGTTTTCTTTTTTTCTTTTTCTCTTTCTTCTTCCCTCCCTCCCTCTTTCTTTTTCTCTTTCTTCTTCCCTCCCTCCCTCTTTCTTTTCCTTTTTCTTTTTCAAGACAGGTTTTTTTTTTCTGTGTGGCCCTGGCTGTCCTGGGACTCACTCTGTAGACCAGGCTGGCCTCGAACTCACGGAGATCTGCCTGCCTCTGCCTCCCGAAGGCTGGGACCAAAGGCATGCGCCACTACTAGAGACCTTTTCCCTCTCTGACTTCTGGCTACCCTCATGACCGCTCTTCCTGCCATGCACTACGTCTCTAACACATGTGTGTGTTAGTAACATGTTTAAAACCACATTATAGAAAGGGGTTGAATGCCACACCCCTGCCCTTTCCCCAGATCCTGCTTGTTTCCTTACCACATCTTTTCTTACGTGCTTATTGTTGGTCTCTCTTGCTAAGACACAAGTTCATGGGGGTGGCAGCCAAGGACAGTGCCTGGGATGTGGCAGAGTTCTGTAAATGCTTGCCAAATGGATGTCAGTTGTCCTGTGCACAAGTATCTCACCAAAAATACCAGCCGAATGCAATTCGCTCTTTTCTCCGTGTGATAGAAAGTAGACTTGAAAGAGGTCCACCGAGCTTATGTACCACTGCACAATTTTATTCCCATCACAAGAGTGATATTAACTCGTCCCCAGAGGATGATCTGTTTTCAACAGAGCAGTTGTTTGCTTTTTATAATTTTAGGAGATGGTGGTGCTGCCTACTGCTCTGAGGAGACAGACTCACCTTTTCTCCTTTTCTTTTTTTAAATCAAGTTCAATTATATAACCTAGGAAAATTCCAGTTGAAAATTACGATATTGAAGAGTTGACTTTCACAGAGTGTCTTGGTGAGCACAGGGTTACATTTTCTTTAGGTGGAGGTATATTATTATCAAAACCAAATTTGTTTTGTGAAAAAAGAGTCACACTTTCCCCCCTCCAGTTGGTTTGAAATAATGCTATGTGTAGTGTTTCTAGTTTTAGGAAAAACAAACAAACAAACAAATAAAAAGAAAGCCTCTAGTAAGAAAACTGAGCAAGTTTGAATAGAGGTCTTGGTATTATAATCCCCTGGCCATAGCTTCCTGATGGGACTTAACACCTGAAAGGGAAACACAGAAGAGGTACTTCCTTTAAAACGGCCCAGCTGGTTGCTAGACAATTACCTCCCAGACTTCCATCTGTTTACAAAGAAACAACTATGGTTAGGAAATTTGCAGCAGTTACTGGCCTTGCTTTATGCTGTGAAGCAAAGCCTGGAAAAGAGTCCAAGTCTGTTACAATATGGACTCCCAGGAATGTCCCGTCAAGGCAACTGGAACCACAAAAACGGCATTTTGTTTGACCAGCTTTAGAGCCTCTGTGTAGGACAGCCCTTGATCTGGTTTCTTTTTGTCCCCAGGTGTAGTATTAACAGTAATGAGATTTACAGTGCACAAGACAAATGATGTCACCGTTTCATCGATGGATAGTGAAGCTAAGAAAAGAAAAAAGAAAAAAGCCTGCAACATACGCACACGCACACGCACACGCACACACACACACACACACCGACATGCACCGCACAGCATGAGAAGGTGAAGTTAGATGTTATTGCCAATTGTTTTCTCTTTCAGGAAGGTCGTGTTTCCCACAAAGGGTAACTTTTCCAGTTTCCATTTTAGTATTAAAGTGTCTGATTTTTTTTTTTTTAAGAAGAGTTGGTTAAGATAGTAGTTAGGTTGGTTGCTGTTGTTGTTTTTAAGTCCTGACTGGGCTGAGGGTGCAGCCCGGGTATAGCACTTGCCAGGTTTATGAGAGCCTCTGGGTTCAATCCCTAGCATGGAGTTCAAGGGCTAGCCTGGTCTACAGCATAAGCACCTGTTTCAAAGAATGGAAAGAGAAAGCATAGCAGCGCGTGGTGGTGCAAGACTGTGATCCAAATGCTAACAGGACTCTGAGAAATCCTGATAACTCTACCTCCATTGCTAAAGAGAAAAAGGTATGTGTTGAAACTTCAGTGGTCTGTGAGTCCAAAAGTCTGCAACTGACAACTTTTAATAATAAAAAAAAAAAACAAACAATCTTGGCAGGCTGGGCAGTGGTGGTGCACGCCTTTAATCCCAGCACTTGGAATGCAGAGGCAGGTGGATCTCTGAGTTGGAAGCTAGCATGGTCTACAGAGAGAGTTCCAGGATAGCCAGGGCTACATAGAGAAACCCTGTCTCGATAAATAAATAAGTAAATATCTTGGCTATTCAGAAGAAAGACAGATACCCTAACATGACAGCCAAAGCCCCACTTCCTGCCTCAAGCTGCCATTCTTCTGTTTTTGCAATGGGGCAGTCTGGGGTCAGCCCTCATCCTCAGGGCTGGGGTCACTGAGGCTCTTTCAACCCTTTGCTCAGAGGTCTCAGAGTTTTTCTCTTCACCTCATCAGGGATCACAAAAAGCCTCAGCTTCTCACTGGACATCCCATAACCCCCATAGGAACTCAGCTAGCTTCAGTCTGCCTGTAGCATCTCCTTGCATTTCCTACCCTGGCTAGTATCCTAGAGAGAGCCACACGGCCACACCCAAGTTCCAGCTCAGCCCACCTGAAACACGCTGCTTCATCTCATCCCTTGTGCCCTTCAACTTCAAAGTCCAATTCCAACATGCTTTCTTTATTCAACAGCACCAGTGCCGGGTGGTGGTGGTGCACGCCTTTAATCCCAGCACTCGGAGGCAGAGTCAGGCGGATCTCTGTGAGTTCGAGACCAGCCTGGTCTACAGAGCGAGATCCAGGAAAGGCGCAAAGCTACACAGAGAAACCCTGTCTTGAAAAACCAAAGCCAAAACCAAAACCAAACCAAAACAAACAAACAAACAAACAAAACCCAGCACCAGAAGGGCTCTTGCCAGCCATGGGGGCAGGAGACCAACGACGACACAGACTGCCCATTAGGGTCTCAGTACACCAGAAGTGAGGTTGGCGGGAATTTTTCTCCACCTACCTTCCAAGAGCTGAGCTTCTGAAACAACTGTGTGCAATGCCTGTGTAGGCACAGTTAGGCTCAGTAAGAACTGACTGGATCAGCGAAGAAAATATGAGTTCACTTAACAAACCCTCCACTCACTTAGCTACCAAATATGCACTGAGTACATACTAGGTACTCAGAATATCATAATTTTTAAGAGCCAGATTAAAGGGACAGAAAACCAGTAACCTCCCACCACCTTACTTAGACTATCGAAGAAACACTGAGTTTAGAGGGTGGTGGCTTCCGGCTTTGAAATCAGCTCTGGTGTACAGTTCCACCTCCTGAACACACAGGCTTTCAGCTGCCATACTCATCACATGCCTCACCTTTTTTTCCCCCCTATATTACATTTTTATTCATTTTGGTAGGTGGAACACACAGATGCTACAGAGCAATGTGGGGTCAGAGGTCAACTTGGGGGAACTGATTCTTTCTCACTCAGTTAGGACTGACCTGTAACACCTACTTTTCCTTACCAGTTTATTTCATAAACCCTAAAAAAATTCAATAAGAACGTTTATTGGTAGCCTAGCAGGTGCCACGGAGTGTGCTCAGGAAACACGGAGGTTTGTACATAGCACATGCTCCCACACATATTCAAACTCATACAGATGCACACACACCACCCCGCAGCCCAAGAAAACAGAAAAAAAAATGAATTTAAATATTAATTGAAAACAGTTTAGGAGCTTAAAATTCAAGAACTCTAGCAAAGTTGAGTTGTTTTAAATTCTGCATATCAGGGACTCTGGAAAAGACTGTCTGCAGATGATCTGATGACAGATGACAGGTGACCGGGGGAGAAGTGAAATACCTCAGTTTCTCTGCAAGAGAGGGCTGCCACACAAACCTCTCCTTTTCCCCTTGCTTACATTCTTACATAATCAGTTCCGTGCACACAGACTCGGGTTTGTGCCACTGAGGACAGAAGGCTGTGAGGGAAGGGGCCATAACCTCACCCCCGCGGCGTCATCTCACCCAGAAAAAGCGAATCAAGTACCTTGAGCATGCGGATTTCTCGAAGGGCGATTTTCTTGATGACTGGGTCATCTTCGGTTTCCAGAAACCTCTTGATGGCCACGATCTGACCCGTGTCTCTGTTTCTGCACTTGAACACCACCCCGTAGGAGCCTTCTCCAATCTTCCCAATTTTTTCATATTTCTCCATCACGGAGGAGTAAGTCTTCTTGGGAATGGGCTTTCATGTAGTGTTTAAAAGCTGTTTACGAAATAGGTGGAGGGTGGACCTCCCTGGAGCCCCATCAGATAGCTGTGGTCCAGGATCTGGAGAAAACAAGGGCACTAGTTAAAAGAATTAGGACCGGCCAGGTGTGGACTCCACCCCTAGCAATGACATCACATCGCGGTCAAGGCTGGGAGCCTACAGGTGGCTGCCGGGTGACCCAATTTCAAATAGTCTGTTTCACCCCCTCGAGCTAAAGATGTGGCTAGCCATCACCCTAAAACGAGCCGAGCTGTAAGATAATCTATCTTTTTAACGTTATGGTTCATACGATCTAAGACACTTGAGCTGGCTGGAGCACCGCGAAGGCCAAGGGCTTCCCCGGTTCTAATTTCGGGTCTCATTTCCCTCCGGAAGAAGACACCGGGCGAGCAACCCGGGGCGACGGGGACCGCAGGGACCTCCCTCCCCGACTCCCGGAGCCTCTCGGCCCAGCCCGTGCCCAGCCGCCTGCAGCCCGGCTGGGTCGCCACCGCCATCCCCATGGGAACCGCGCCGGCTGGGCGGGGCCGCCGTCCGCCCTGCTGTCCCCGCAGCCACCTGGCAGGGTCCCAGATCCCACGCTGCAGGTCCGCAGGATTTAGATCGTGGAAGGCGCAGCGTGGGGGCGTCTGCGGGGAGGATTCCTGCACCCGGGCCCTCCCAGCAGCCTGCTCCTGCAACAGTGGCCAGGTCCATACCTTACATCGGTCACTCCTTGGTGACCCCTCCTCCCCTGGGAACCCCTGGAGGGGTCCTGCGGCGTGGGTCCTGCTCGGTGCGGCGGCTTCAGAAAATGAATGCGAGAGAGGCAATCGAGGGAGGCCGGTTGGCCTTCCCTCCCATGCAGTGGGGCCTTGCAGAGCCTGCCTTGATTTCCCCAGTCACCTCCTTATTGAACCTGTTAGAGCGCGGCGACAGCGGCAGTCGATGGATGTAAGAAATCTTGAAATAAGGTAGAGCGCCACCGGACTGACAGTCTCAACACCTTGTCAGCCCTCTCACGGCTCAGGTTAGGCGCCGAGGTGCGTGTGCGCCAGCGACAGGACTTCAGCGGAGAAAATGTCTGCAAAACCCGGGCCAGCCCCGGCCAGGGAATGATGCAAATCTGCACGAGCTCAGGAAGAAGCTGGGGCCGGGCACACAGGGCGTGGCGGCCGCCTGGCATAGGGTATGCCGTATAATGAGGTCTGGAGATGGACTAGCGGTGGTTTGGGACCCTCCCAGAAATGGTGTGCAAATGTGAATCCCTATTTCTTGAATTTTGTCTGCTCCATAGCTTTGCCTTTCCCAGAATGCCGTATAAATGGGGGTATACACTGCACGGCTTTTGAGAATAATAAGCCTCTTCGTTTCACAGAAAGCATCTGAGATTCGCACACATCTTGCATTGATCATCAGAGTCTACCTTTTTATTGTCGGGTAGCGTTCTGTTGTATGAATGTGCAGGTGTTTGTTTATCACGCCTGGTTGAAGAATATTTGAATTGTTTCCAGTTTGGATTGATTATGAAGCCACTATAAATACAGTGCATAGCCCTTTCTATGAACGTATATTTTCATTTTTCTTGGGGGAAATACTAAGAAGAGGACTGCTGGGTTGCACATCAAGTTTATCTCTTGTAAGTAACCACCAACATGTTTCCATTTCTGGCTGTTCCATTTTACCTTCCCGTTAGCGATGTTCCCAGAACTCGGGATCTCTGCCGTACCTATGACTTTAGCTGCTGAAATAGGCGCTTAATGACTTCTAACGGTTTTAATATGAATTTGACTCTTATTTGCCCTCTGGATGTGTTTCACATCAGGGTTCTGAGAAACTTACATAAGTTCTTTGGGATTTTTGTATAGACCACGAAATAGGGACAATTTTAGTTTTTCTTAATCAGTTTGATCTTGCTTCTCTTTTCCCTGGGTAGGTTCATCAGTGTGATATTAAGAGTGGCAAGACCACATGTCTTGTATTGTTGCTTCAGTCTTAGAACAGTAAGCACAATGATGGCTATCCATTCTCCTCCTCCTCCCCCCCCTCCTCCTTCTTCTGTAGGCAGCCTCTGAGAGTACCCTAATGACTCTGCCTCCTGACAGCTGTGCCCTTATGGACTCTCTTCCCCAGGAGCAGGCCTTCTTAAGTTTTACCCACTCTGTCCACTTTTTACATGAGAAATTTTTACCTGGCCTCAGATACATAGGTGTATAAATGAAACTTACAAAGGTTTTCTGAAATTAAATCATGGAGAAATTTAAAACAGTTCTTTGGGAATCAGGCACGGTGGCTTGTTCTTGTAAACCCAACACTCGGGAGCTAGAGACAGGAGGATCAGGAGTTTAAAGTCATCTTCCTAGACGACACAGGCAGCTCAAGTCAGCCCAGTCTACGTGAGATCCTGTCTCAAAAAACCCCACCCTACACACACACACACACACACACACACACACACACACACACACACACAGACACCACACACCATACACATCATATACACACACACACCACACATCACACACACCACACACACCATACACACACACACACACCACACACCACACAC